TCTCCTTCCTTTACTTTTTCTCTTTTTTTTAAAAAAAAAAAAAAATTATTTTACGTTTTTTCATTCTTTATCAATAAAGTTACTATTTTTATTATATAGAATATTTTTGTAGTTTTTTACATTTAAATTATAATAAGATAACTTACAATATTTATTTCTATAAATATGAAATATTTGTTTTATGCATTTACTTTTTGTATGGAGTTTTAGAAATATTAGTATTATATTGGGATAAAGTAAAAATAAAGATAAAAAGACTAAATTAACCATATTAGTATTGTATGATATAAAGGTAATGACAATTTGTGTAATATATTCTAAATTGTAAGGGTATTTGTAATGTTAGGTAGATAGTACAATTACTAAAAAAAGGAAATGAATACTTTGTTATGGGACGGACCAAAATGAAAAATGGATAGATTGTTAAAAGACGGAGGAAATATATTTTTATTATATTTATTTTATTGGATTTAGATTTTTATGTTTTTTTTTTTTTTTACGATTTTCAACTTTATATTTTTATTATATTTAACTTTTTGGATTTAGATTTTCTTTTTTTTAGGGTAAACTGTTTTTTTAGTCCCGTAACTGGACCCCATTATCATTTTAGTTCCGTAAGTGGAGTCTGTCGCAAACTAGTTTCATAAGTGAAAATTTTTCGCTGCTTTAGTCCTCCGGCACCGGAGATGCTCGCGTAGCTCGCCAGAGGCCACGTGTCTGCTAGGTCAGCGACACCTTGCGGACACATAGATTTTATTTTTTATTTTTCATTTTTTTTAAAATTTTTTTTAAAATATTTTAATTTTTATTTGCCTTTTTAATTTTTTTATTTGGTCTGATTGAAAAAAAATAAAAAATAAAATAAAATCCACGTGTTCGCCAGGTGTCGCTCGCCTGGCGGGACACCTGGAGGACACGTGGCTTCCGGCGAGCCACGCGGGTGTCTTCGACGTCGGAGGATTAAAACAACGAAAATTTTTCACTTATGAGACTAGTTTGCGACAGACTCCACTTACGGGACTAAAGTGATAAGAAGGTCCAGTTACGGGACTAAAAAACAGTTTACCTTTTTCACTTTATGTTTATTTTTTTTTGGATTTAGATTTTTTTTTTAAAATTTTTCACTTTTTATTAGTAAAGTTACAGTTTATATTATTTTCATGTATTACTTTTATAATTAACTATTTTTATGATATATAATTTTTTTTAAATTTTGAATTATAATAGGATAACATGCAATATTTATGCCTATAAATATAAAATTTTGTTACTAAAATTTTATTTATTTATTTATGAATTACTTTAATAATTATGAAACTAAAATTAAATATATTTATTTTTGTAATATTAAAGTCCGTCCCAAAACAAATTTATGATATAATAATTGTATCACTTAGTTAATATAATAAATACTTTTTTAATTTATACTCCCTCCGTCCCATATACCGTGTCTCCTACACTATAGATACGGTATTTTAGGAGGGGTGTAATTAGTAGATAATTAAGAATATATTAGATGAAAATAATTATCCTATAATATAAATAATTATAAATTAAGATTAAAATAATTAATTAGTTTAATTAAAATTAAAAATTTAAAATGAGATTAAAGTGTGTAATCATTTTCCAAAAAAGAAAAGTGATATGGTATATGAAATGGACAGAAACGGCAACATGCACATGATATCTGGTACGGATGATTTAATATATTAAACACTATGTTTACTTTTATTTACTTATTAACGCGGATTGCATGCTAATAAATAATTGAACAATACTACTCTTTGAGGTAAGAGCATAAATAATAGTATGAAAATGGAAATAAGAGAGGGGGAAAAAATTGTTTATTAATAATACTTTTTAGGTGCAGTTTGTTTGGGGTTTAAATTTTGAGTCAGTTCAATAGTAAAAATTTTGAATTTAAATAGTTGTATAATATGATATAAAAAAGTATTGATGTGATATTTTAAATGTAAAATTAATTTTTAGTATAATATAAAAAATAAAAAATTAAGTGTTTGATTCGATATTTTCTGAGAAGAAAAATAGAATTAATAACGTGTTTAAAATTCAATCCCCAAAGCAAACACACAAACTGTGATAAAGTTTTGTGGGATAATTTCCTTATAATTCTGCACTTAGGTACTTCTTTTATATATACTTTTTAAAAAAATTTATATATTATACATATTTATTATTTTTATATTATTTATATATTTTTTTAAATAATTTTATAAAACAAATTTTTTCTTTGCCCAATAAAATAAAATAAATTCCTGTAATAAGGACGAAAAATATAACAAAGTGTTAAATATATAATGAACTCAAAAGAAGTATATATTAAAGATATATTTGTTTTTAAAATAATTTGAATGAATAATTTGTTATGTAAAATTGAAAAATTTGTGCAGAAAATATAAAAGAAATAATAATTTGTAATATATTAATATTTTTGCTAAAACATTCTAAAATAAATTATTCACAAATAAATTACTCCCTCCGGCGAGATGAAGTACAATATAAATATCAATTTTATTTAATACAAATAAATAAAAATATATATTTATTTATAATTAACTTATATTAAATTTATAAAAATAAAGTTTCAAATATAGATAAATTTATTTATCGTAAAAAGATATAAATAAATTTTTTTGAATAGATCTAAAAAATTAAAAATTTAATCAAATTAATTTATATTTATTAAGTATATTTAAAATGAATAAATTTACAAAAATAAAATGAGATAAAAAAGGAGATGGTCATGCGGGATGAAAAGAGTATAATAAAAAGAGTATAAAATAAAATGAAATAAAAATTTCAGCGCCCAATAAAAGGGAAAAAATAAATTTTGGTCCCAATATAATCAAAATTCATCAATTTTGTCCCAATATAAAACTCTTATCAATTTTGGTCCCAATATAACCAAAACTCATCATTTTTGGTCTCAATATACAATCTTTATCAATTTTAGTCATAATATAACCAAAACTCATCATTTTTGGTCCAAATATAATCAAACTTTATCTTTTTTGGTCCCACCGTTAACAAACCAACGGAAAATGCTGACGTGGACTTAACGGAGTCGAGCTGGCAGGTGACCTGGAATGAACACGGCCGTGTACCATACAACACGCCTGTGAACATACAAGTCAGCATCCGCCAGTCACTATACACGGCCGTGTGACATTTAACACGGCCGTGGAAATTGATTACGGCCATGTTTCCTGCCTGTGTCTAAACACGGCCGTGTGAATAAAATGAACACGGCCGTGTTCATCTGAAAGGCAATTCCCGCGACGACACACGGCCGTGTTATACATGTCACACGGCCGTGTTACTGTTCACGGCCATGGACTCAGGCTATGTTTCTGCCACGGCCGTGTGTTGTTGTAACACGGCCGTGTTGGCGTCGTCTTTCTGCAACGTTTCTTCTTCCCAGCCATGTTGTACATCTACATTTTATTTCTCACTGTGAAAAAGACGACGAAAAAAGATTTCTACTCATTTGGTAAGTAAAGTATACAATATATTTTATCTTCTATCGATTATATGTTGATATAATTTATAGTTTTAGTGTTTTTTTAGGGTTTTTTAAGTTGTGTGTTTAGTGATATATGATGTATATGTTTTAAGTTGATTATATATATATATATATATTTTGCATATTTTGTTTGAATCTTATATTTATAATTTTTAAATATTGTATTATTATTGTTTTCTTAGTTATATTTTTTTTAGTATTCTTGTAGGTGAAGAAAATATTTATCGAAAATGACTGATGAAAACAATAGAATGATTGAGAAGGGAAAAAATATACAGTTAGATCAAAAAGATATGAGAGAAGAAGAATTGGAGTTTGAAGATCCCGATTATTTGATGGAAGAGAAGGATATGGAAGCTAATTTAATAGATCATTTGTTATACGAAGATATGGTAGATGATGAGGAGATGAACGAGGATCTATCTATTGTGGTATGTCAAAATTTTGACGATGAGATGTCTTTGGATGATTCACACGAAAATGATCTCACAAGTATTGCCGGGTCCGATACAGAACTCAACGATTCTCAAACGGTGTGCGATCCATCTACCAAGTACAATCCATCGTTTGTACTCGGGATGATTTTCAGTTCGAATAAAGAGTTTAAAGAGGCCATCCAAAATCACGCTATCTTGACGATGAGGACTCTATGTTTTGTCAAAAATGACAAAAGAAGAATGTATGTTCGATGCTCAGTTCAAAGTTGTAATTGGAGAATAAATGCTTTGAAAGTGAGCGATCAATCGACATATCAAATCCGAACCTATCAATCAAAGCATGATTGTATGTGTGATGTAAATGTCAAGAATGCAAAGTCTTTCTGGCTTGCGAAAAAATACGAACCGTTGTTTCGATCGGACCCTTCAAGACGTGTGAAAGGATTTAGAGTTGATGTTTCCGAAGATATTAGATGCAATGTATCCTATCAACAAGCATATAGGGCGAAGAAGAGAGCACTCAAAGCAATTGATGGTGATGCAGAGGAGCAATATGGAAAGTTGTGGGATTATGCTGAAGCACTGCGGCAATCGAATCCGGGATCACGTGTCTCAATGGAGTTGGAAGGGGAGTTTATAAATGGACGACGACGATTTAGCAAATATTATATATGTTTCAAATCGCTCGTTCTTGGATTTCAGTCCGGTTGTCGACCTGTGATTGGGGTCGATGGATGTCATTTAAAGGGTCCGTGTCAAGGTATCTTGTTAACTGCGATTGCAATTGATCCCAATAACAAATTATTTCCTTTGGCGTATGCTGTTGTTGGGAGTGAGACACGTGAGGCATGGGAATGGTTTTTCATGCTGCTGAAAGATGATCTAAATATAGAACGTGACTTGTTCCTGCTATGGAAAAGATTTTTCCCGGATCAGAAAAAAGATTTTGTGTACGACATCTTTACGGTAATATAAAAAGTGTTGGATTCAAGGGACTTGCATATAAACGACTTAGTTGGATGGCAGCAGATGCAACCACGGTTCCCGAGTTCGAGGATGCTATGAAGGAGATCAAAGAGTTAGATGAAAGATGTGTAGATTGGTTGGCCGACAAGCCACCTTCACAATGGTCGAGGTCACATTTTGCGACATTTTCAAAGTGTGATATGATTTTGAACAACTTGTGTGAATCTTTCAATAGAATTATATTGGATGCAAGAGATATGCCAATTTTGCCTATGTTGGAATGGATTAGGAGATATCTGTTGTCACGGCTTGCAAAACGGAGAGAAATGGCACTTCGAAAATGGGAAAATATGCAATTTTGCCCCAAAATAGTGAAAATCATGGAAAAAAATATTCGAGAAGCTTCATCATGTGTTCCAGTTAAGGCCGATGATTGGACCTATGAGGTGGGTTGTTCCGATGGCAGCAGGTTTGTAGTGGATATTTTGAAGAAATCGTGTGGGTGTAGAAAATGGGATTTATATGGGATTCCTTGTCGTCATGGAATGAGTGCCATCTGCGGTCAACAGCTAGATCTAGCGGACTTTGTCGATGAAGTATACAGTGTTGAGAACTTCAAAAGGGTTTATTCATATTCTATTGGCCCTATGAATGGAGCACAACTGTGGCCGAAAACTGGTTTGCCTCCACCATTTCCACCTATCGTAAAACGCTCTGCTGGCCGGCCTAAAACAACAAGAAGGCGTGATCCTTATGAGATTATGGAGAAGGGATACACAAGAAGACAAAAAGGAGATAACAATAGTTTGCCAAAACAAAGAAGACGAGTAACTTGTAAGTTTTGTGGTCTTATCGGTCACACACTTAGGGGTTATCAACAGAGAAAAGCTCAGTTGTATGAATCAAATTCCACTGCGAGAATTACGCAAGCAAGTGAACACGAGGAGCCGCAAAGGGTACAAGCTCCCACAACAAAATTAACGGTATGATTTTGCATTAATTATGTTTGAATATACAACTCTTTATGAATAATCTATGAATTTTTATGCAATAGGTGAGAAGAACAACTTTGATCCGAGGAAATACACAAACTTGAATCGCGTTGGAACGCCACGGGAGTACGACAAGAACGCATTGATTTTGGAGATTTTTAGAATAGATTGTTATGTTTTGATATATTCCAATGCTTGGGCTTGTTTTGAGATTGTTGATATTTTGGTTGCAGTGGGATTAAAAAATTTGAGATTCATTGAATTTTATTTTATTTTTTTTTGGAAATTTAATGAAATTCGGAATATTAGGTTGTAAAGACATGCAACAGGGGTGAACACTTGGAAAAAATGAAGGTCCACACGGCCGTGTTAAGTGACACACGGCCGTGTGTACCTTGACGTTCGATAGCAAAGGTTTACAAAGAGTTACACGGCCGTGCAAAATATCAACACGGCCGTGTTCAAGTTGACAGAAAGTTACACGGGCGTAAGCGGAAATTCACACGGCCGTGTTTATGTTCACAGATTGAGTAAAGTAATCCAGAGATTTACACGGCCGTGAAGGAGAGTACAACGGCCGTGTTTAGTTTGTCACCAATTTCCAGTAAGATACACGGCCGTGAGCGGAAATACACACGCCCGTGTTTATGTTCACAGATTGAATAAAGTGATCCAGAGATTTACACGGCCGTGACGGATAGTACAACGGCCGTGTTTAGTTTGTCACCAATTTCCAGTAAGATACACGGCCGTGAGCGGAAATACACACGGCCGTGTTTATATTCACAGATTGAGTAAACTGATATTTACACGGCCGTGACGGAGAGTACCACGGCCGTATTTAGTTTGTCACCATTTTCCAGTAAGATACACGGCCGTGTGGGTTCACGTTACACGAGTAAATATTAGGGTTTCACATGGGCGTTTAAGTGGGCCGTTTTTGTACACGGCCGTGTTTGTGTTTGTACACGGGCGTGTTCGATTTGATTAGAAAGTATTAAACCTCTCTTCCGGTCGAACGCGCAAATACCCATTTCTATTTCTTCTCCCGTTTTTTCTTTTCCGGCGACGGTGACGACGGATCATCGGCGGACGAGGACGGGCTGCTTCTATTTGGGAAAAGTTTAGGTTGAACTTGTCTTTTTGTTGAAGGATAAGGTAATGTGTGAATATATTTATTGTTTTTTTTTATTAAATTTTCTTATGATTTATTCTTTGTTTCTGTGAGTTTAGTTGATAATTTTTTTTTTTTGGTATTTTTTGTTCGATTTTAAGGTATCGGAATATGTTTATATTTTGTAATAATGATTTTTACTTGAAATTATATATTATTTGATTTTTTGGTTGCCTTTTGCATGGATATTTTGTGCAAAATAAATTTTTAATTTTACATTTTATTTTTAATGTAGCGTAATAATGGCTGGGGATAAGGGTAAGGGCAAGAGAGCTCGAACAGATGAAAGTTCTTCAGCGAGAGTGGATACAACATATGATTTTTTAGGTTTTGGTGAATTAGAACACACCGAACGTTACAAAAGATTTAGGAGCAGATCTTTTTCAAAGAGCAAATATATCGATTGGAATGTTTTGGCTATGTTGGGAATGCGGGAGGAGGTAGAGCCTTCAGTTTCGGTTGGAGTGTGGGTTCGTTTTTTTCAGATTGTGGAGCCGAGTTACAGAAATTTAACTTTAGAGTTTATGTCAACTATTGATTATGGATCGGTGAACTATAACTACGAAAAACCTAAGACTTTGACGTTTAGATTACTGGGAAAGATGTTTTCGATATCATTCGCCGATTTTTCAGTGATAATGGGTTTATATGACCCGGACTTTGTGGAAACGGATGACTTCGAAGCCTTGCCTACTCTTATGCCTATTCAATCTGCCGTGTACTGGTCCCAAATTAGCACCGAAGCGGCTTACAATTCTGCACGTTCTAAGGCATCGACTCTTCGGTACCCGCCACTACGGTATATACATTATATTCTAACTCACTCACTTTCCGGTCGGGGTGAGAGCACTGGGGTAGTTTCGAATATTGATTTATGTTATCTTTGGAGTATGCTAGAGCGTCACCCTATAAATTTGGGTTTTATGCTTGCTCGATTTATGATACATCAGGTCAAGGATGGCCGTTTGGGGAAAATCTCTCTTGGTCCGTATGTTACTCGACTGGCAAGGGGTCTTGCGCTTTTAGAGGAAGAGATTGAGGATCCGATTTGTGTCATGCAGCCTTGTGGTTTTCGAACGTTGCAGATGATGGGTATGGTTAGGAAGGTGACGAGGGGAGGAGTAGATAGATATGTATTGATTGATAGGGTTGATGCACCAGGAGATGGGGTTGATCAGTTTCCAGGTGACCAGGGTGCGCCAGAGGATGATCAGCCGCACCGCATTCAGATGCCCATTGACAGGTCAACCATTGATGATTTACGCATGGATATGCATCGCCGTATGGATGAGTTGCAAATGGAGGTGCATCGCCAGATGGACGGTATGCGGTTGGAGATGAGATCTTTATTTTCCCGTATTTCTCAGCATCTCTCCATTCCTGTTTCACCAAACGATGGTGCTCCTTATGCATCTACACCGGGACACAGCGATATCACAATTGATACAGATGCTTTGTTTGCGGATCATCCAAACAGAAATGAGGACGAGTAGCTTTCTGTTTTTTTTCTGTATTTTGCGTGTAATATGTAATGATTTTTTGTTTTAAATATGTATTAATCTAAAGACTGATGTTTAGGTTATTTTTACTAATTTTAATTCAAACTTGAAAATTGGTTAAACTTCAATTGGTTAAATTGGTTAATCGCCAGAGAGAAAGATACACGCCCTTATAAAACTTCACGCGGCCGTGTAAAACATGGGGGAGATAACAGAAATAACGACGCCAACACGGCCGTGTCACAACAACACACGGCCGTAGCAGAAACACAGCCTAAGTCCATGGCCGTGAACACTAACACGACCGTGTGACACGTATAACACGGCTGTGTGTAGTCGCGGGAATTGCCTTTCAAATGAACATGGTCGTGTTCATTTTATTCACACGGCCGTGTTTAGACACAGGCAGGAAACATGGCCGTAATCAATTTCCACGGCCGTGTATAGTGACTGGTGGATGCTGACTTGTATGTTCACGGGCGTGTTGTATGGTACACGGCCGTGTTCATTCCAGGTCACCTTCCAGCTCAACTCTGTTAAGTCCACGTCAGCATTTTCCGTTAATTTCTTGACGGTAAGACCAAAAAAGATAAAGTTTGATTATATTGGGACAAAAAATGATGAATTTTGATTATATTGAGACTAAAATTGATAAAAATTGTATATTTTGACAAAAAAATGATGAGTTTTGATTATATTAGGACCAAAATTGATAAAAGAATATTGTAACCAAAATTAATAAATTTTGATTATATTGAGACCAAAATTAATTTTTTCTCAATTAATTTATATTTATTAAACATATTTAAAATAAATAAATTTACAAAAATAAAATGGGATAAAAAAGGAGATAGTCATGCGGGATGAAAAGAGTATAATAAAAAAGGTATAAAATAAAATGAAATAAAAATTTCAGCCGATATTATATTCGGTGGATTTAAACCTCCTGTGAGCGAATTTTGTAGGATATTAGGCACGGTGAAAATTTACCAATATGCATTTTCGAATAGTAGCTAATTTTGTAGGATATTAGGCACGGTGAAAATTTACCAATATGCATTTTCGATTAGTAGCTCACCAAGAAACCTCCACTATGAGGACGACGTTAGTACTCGAACCAATCAAATTTCAACAGCACATGATACTTGCAACAACATTACACATAAAAAAGCCAAAATAAAATACACATAAAAGCAACATTGAAACCGACGCACAACACTAACATATCTCAAAAATTGCATGTTCAAGAAATTAAACTAGGAAAGCATCAATATAATATATTATAATTAATTAAACTACTTCAGTAACACGAAAGGCAATCGATGTTCAGATACTAAGTAAAGAAGCAGAATTACATCCTAATTATCAATGGCCTGGCCTCATCAAAACCAGGATGGGTAGGGCAGAGTAAGGTAGGGTAGGGTAGATCGGATACAAAACGCAGATAAAGTAGTAGTAAGTACTAGCCATTAACTAAGAGAGACAAAGGAGAGATTGGGTAACGTCAGATCACGGGAACTTAACAGCAGCCTCTACGGCCAGGCCATTAAGCCTCCTTCTCAACCACTTCACATTTCTTAGACGGACTGCAGATTAGCCATAAGTTACCGTAGGGGTCCTTCACCTTCCCAACGCGACCTCCACAGCACGCGCCTTCACCCTCCGATATCTCTCCTTCCGGAACAGCTCCGGCGGCAACCGATTTCGCCACTGCGCCATCAACATCTTCTGTCTCCAGGCAAAACACTCCACCGGTAACCGCAGATTTAACTCTAAATACAGAATAATAAGCAGTGTTAAAACACAGTAGCAGTGAATCTTAACCTCAGAAGCATGGATCTAAGCAAATACAATCTCAGCAACAACAAATCAACAACGATATTAAGGATAAGCACGTATTCAGCCAAACAAACAAAACTAACACATACGGAGCAGAGGCGTCGTCGGTGAGGTCGGCGACGACCACAACAGAGCCTCCTATCTTCAGCTCCGCAGAAAGGACAAGAGGCTGCTCCTGCTCCGCCTTCCTTTTCGGATGATTCACGCGACTCACCTCCTCAGCTCCGAACGCCGCCTTGTAAAACCTCACTGCCTCTTGAGCCTTAGGCGCTTCAACCACCAACCACGGCTTCACTGCAGAAAAAACAACCGCAGGAGCAGCAACTTCAACACCGTTCTCAGCTCCAGCGCCGTTGTGAGCCTCCTCCGCCATTCGGATTTCTTGCGATCGAGAGCGAACAAAATAAAAACCCTAGGAAGGAGAAAAGGCTAATTTCCACAAAACAGGAAAAGACACAAAAATATGGCAACGGATAAAAATGCGTGAAACTGCTTTTCGCAGGTATTTATAGGAAGCGAGGAAGCGGAACCGTTCGAGGGACAATCGCGGGATAAAATAATCACGTTTTACGAGGTGGACCTCGTTCATAAGGGTTAAATTACATTATTGCCCTCATAAATTGGCCTTCTTTTCCCCTGTTATTTACGGTCGTGCCACTCCGTTAACTCTAATGGCTATTCTAGTAGTCACGTCAGAAGGATTTTTCTTTGTTGCTTTTAGAGAAAAAAAAAATTAATAAAAAGTCGTATTGGTCTCAGTGCAGAGGACCGCTGTTCATTAAATTCGAACGGTAAAATTGCAGGTTATGGATTGTGAGATGACAGAAATACCCTTCAGTCTTTTCAGGTCTCATTCTTCCTTAAATGACACGTATGTGTATTTTTTTAATGTTTATGAAATGAAAATAGTTATCTAATCAAATATTTTGTATAAAAAATTAATGTTTTATTTACTCGTTAGAGTTTATCTCTAATTTAACTATTTAAATTTTATTTTTTAAAATAATATTAAATTAAATACTTAATTTTTATTTATTTTATTACATTAAAATTTAATATTATATTCAAATTATCGCATTATATATTTATATCACATTAAACAATTATTTCAATTCAAAATTTCACTATTTAAAATCAAAATTCAAAATCAAAACTTCATAGCTAACACACCTAAGAATGTGTTATGTGATTATTATTTTAGTTGCTTATTTTTTAATATATACTTCTTCCGTCCAGCTACAAAGTATACACATTTCTATTTTGGGACATCCTTTTTCGCCTTCTCTTCGCTCTGGGCACGAATTACAAAGTAAACATTTCATTAAATACCTCACTTTTTTTACAATTACCCTTACTTTACATCACATCATTACTTTTATACCAAAAAGTAAGGGCAAAAATATCATTACACTACTTTTAACTACCCACTATAATTAAAATACTATTATTTCTTAAATATCGCGCCAAAAGTAAATGTTTACTTTATCTGTGGACGGAGGGAGTATCATTTAAATATTTTCTTTACTATATCATGTCACACTTTTTATTTTCGTTTGTCTCACGTGTAATGTCACTTTTTTAGAAATGTATTTACATTTTAATCATATTTAAAATTTTACAATTTATTATTTTTTTTAAATTTTTGTTAGATTAATTTAGTTATTTTAATTTTAATTTATAATTATATATTATATTGTAATTAATTTTACTAATATATTTTTAATTATTTATTAATTATACCACTTTCAAATTTTCGTATCTACAATAATTGTAACATCATAATTGAGACGAAAAGAGTAATATTCTTTCCGTCCCATAACAATGGATGTTTTTTTACTTTTGTTTGTTCTATAACAATATATATATTTCTATTTTTGGTAAAATTTATTAAATCAAAATATATTTAACAAATATAAATCAAATTAATTAACTATATAATATTTAATATCATAAATCATATACGACACGCTCAAAACTCTTTTATTTTCATCTCTCTTCTAAAAAAATAAATACTTTTATTTACATTTAAAATTTAACATCTTTTATAAAATTAATTTATGTTAATTATAAATAAATAAAAGTGTCTTTTTACTTAGCTGAATTATAAAAAAAAAAATTATTCTCTACAAAATTATATTCATATTGTATATATTTTTTATTGCAATATAAATTTTACAATATTTAAATACATATTCTAATTTTTTAATAATATATGTTAAATTTAATTTAAAATTATCAATATTATTAATTATATAAAAATAATAAAATAATATCACTATTATTAACTAATTGAATAACATTATCTTAAATAACATATATCTAATGAAAGAGGTCAATTATCTTAGGATTGCGGGAATATTAATTAGGGACAAAGTTTTAAGATAATGATGTTTAATTAATAATAGTTGTGGACAAAAAATTGTGATAAATTTTAAAAACACAAAATTTTGTATAAATTATATTTGATTTGAATTTAAAGCGGGTCATATTCTCTACATGGGTCTTTTGATTTTCTTTCTAGGTCGATTTATTTCCAACTTGGCTTTGAATGGCTTCTTTGATCCGAAGAGATTTGCTATTCCATTTGACTTTGCCGGACTTTGAAGAGCTTTGGTCTTTATATGGGCGACTTGATCATCAGCTTTGGATTTGATGTATTCTTTAGACGATTCGAGGCTTTGATCTTTGGTTTGGTTTTGCCGTCTTTTGGAGAGCTTTGGTCTCCGTGTAGGCGATTTGATCATCGGCTTTGGATTTGATGTCTTCTTTAAACAATTTGAGGCTTTGATCTTTGCTTTGGCTTTGCTGCTTTGGAGGACTTTGGTCTCTGTGTGGGCGATTTGATCATCGTCTTTGGATTTGATGTCTTCTTTGAACGATCCATAGCTTTGATCTTTGGTTTGGCTCTGCCGCCTTTTGAAGAGTTTTGGTCTTCGTGTGAGCGATTCGATCGTTGGTTTTGGACTTGATGTCTTCTTTGGACGATCCGCGGCTTTAATCTTTGCTTTGGCTTTGCCGCATTTTGGAGAGCTTTGGTCTCCGTGTTGGCGATTTGACCGTCGGCTTTAGATTTGATGTCTTCTTTGGACGATCCGCGGTTTTGATCTTTGAGGGGGTGGATTTGGTGCTCGATAACATTTTTGGCGGCGTGTCCCTTTGACTTTTGGATCGAAGAGGATCTGGTTGATGCTTTTTGACGAAGAACGCGACGAACACCTTTAAGCTTTGGAATGAACTTGGGAGGCTTTTTCTTGGCTTTGACGGATCGTTGAACGGCTTTTGGAGCTTTGATTCTTCCTCCGGCTTGGGCATACGACGAAGAACGTCAACTTTATGGATTCGTCAACCAATATTGGATCATTTGTTCAAATTAGTGACTTTCGATGAAGAACGCCTCGAAGGATATGAAGAACATGGAGAACAATACATAAAGAGTCTAAATTTACCCATTTGTTTGAATCCTCGATGTAACTTTGGTGTGTCAAATGAATTAGTCATGACTCCTATTTATAGGGGAGAGGTGACATCGGCTTCCTTTTTTAATGATGTCACGTGACCCGTTCTGATTGGTAAATAGAATGATTTTATAATCTTTCATTTTCCATCAGATATTGTTTTCCATTCTTGACGGATTTGATTGTGCATCTTCCTTTCTCGCCAAGATCTTTATATCATTGTCTTTTTCGGAAGATATTAATTTATATACTTCTTTTATTGAAAAAGATTAATTTATTTTTCTGCCAAATTTATGATGGCCCTATTTATGCACATAATATTTGTATGGTATCTTCCATTTTAAGTAGTATTTTGCATTAATTGTTGATATTGTACAAAAATTAACATATGTGCATAATTAAATATCATATATTTATTTTATTGGAATTTTATTTTCTTTCAAAATACATGATATTTAATTTATACATTTAATTTATAATGCCTACAAAAAATGCCCCCTTGAGACTTGTTTAAGCTAACGCAAAACGTTTAAAGCTTGAATAAGTCTCGAAATATCAAGTCAGTCTATTTTTTTTGGACTGAAATTCTATATATATATATTTTTTGCTATCACGTTTGTATTTCTTTTTAGCAAATACTTTTTTTCAAAGGGCTTTTTTTTTCTTTCTTTTTTTTTTTGGATAAGATCTCTTTTTTTGTCCAAATGATTTTTCTAAGCCCAATTTTTTTTGGAATTTTTTTTTCTTTGCCCAATTTATTATTTAAGGCTTTTTTTTGAAATAATTGACTGAACACGGAGTTATATTTCAAGTTGTCTACGTATCCGGTGAAGGAATCAAGTCATAACATAGTTTAAGCAATTAGAATTTGTTTATTTTTGTTAAAAAGTTTATTCTCGTGTTAAGGAGTGTTGTAGAAAGTTTAACCTCATTTCTAGGAGATTGGAAAAAGTTTATCCTTATTTCTAGGAGACTGAAGAAAGTTTATCCTCGTTTCCAGAAGATTGCAGAAAATTTATCCTTATTTCCAGGAGATTGAAGAAAGTTTATCCTAGTTTCCAGGAGATTGCGGAAAGTTTATCCTCGTTTCCAAGATGTTGGAGAAAGTTTATCCTTGTTTCCAGGAGTGTTGAAGGTATGATTGCCCCCACTATTTGAAGTGTTATGTTTCTCGTCGTCTGAGAAATCTTAGGTAGGCGGTCCATATATTCCACTAGACATCATGCTCAATTCCATATCATGAGCGCGAGTGGGGAGTTCTTCAAAAGTATGGTGACGGATCCCTTGTAAAATGTATTTCAAGCCCCACTGCATTCCTTGAATACACATTTCTATGCCGGATGCCTCGGACAGACGGTCTTTGCAGTTGAGACTTAGACTTCTCCAGCGGTTGATGTAGTTGATTACAGGCTCATCTTTCCGTTGGTAGCTGTTGGTAAGTTCGGTCATGCTGACAGTTCTCTGTGTGTTGTAGATACGATTCAAGAACTCGTACTTTAGTTGTTCCCAATTGTCGATGGAACTAGCCTCTAAGTCGATGTACCAGTCGAAGGCGTTTTCGTTTAGTGACCGCACAAATTGTTTGACTAGGAGATCTTCATATGTTCCAACATCGTTGCATGTCTCGACAAAGTGCACTATATGTTGCTTTGGGTTGCCTTTGCCGTCAAATTGTTGAAACTTTGGTGGTAGATAGCTCGTTGGCATTTTGAGGGCGTTAATTCTTGCAAGTAAGGCTTGGGGTAAGTGTGCGTCGGCCTTGAACTCCCTTCGAATTCTCTTTTGATTGCCCCCTTAATGTATTTGTCAAGTTGGAATATATGAATGAAGAAGTTGGATGATCTTTGAAATGGATTTGGTTCTGCCACATTTTCTTTGCCATGACGCTGCTCCACAGATGTTGCCGCTTCATTTTGGGCCGCTAGAGAAGATGGTTGCTTTTCGATGGCATGATTGGATTCTTCAGGCTTATCTAGCTTTTTGAGAAGTTTTTCGATGAGGGTGTCTTGTTGTTGCATGTGTTGAGACATC